CCCAACCTACTGCTCCAACTCACACAACACTCATTCACACACACACACCATATCATTATACATTCACACACAGGAGACGGCCATTCCACACTTTGTGTCTGTGTCGCTACCTCAGAGCAGCCCGTTCAGCCTCATCTCCCTATCCTTTTTCCCCCCTCACACCCGTCACTGACTCTTTAAGGTCTTTGTCTCATTCCCTCTTGAAGCCAATATGGATTCTGTCTCAACCACCTCTCCCGGCATTATTGTCCTTACAGCAGAGCGAGTTAAGGGGAGATTTAATAGAGGTGTTCAAAATTATGAGGGGTTTTGATAGGGTGAACAGCGAGAAACTGTTTCCACTGACCGGTGGATCAGTAACTAGAGGACACAGATTTAGGATAATTGGCAAAAGAACGAGAGGGGAGACCAGGATAATTTTTTTTAACCATAGAGTTGTTACGGTGGGAAACGCACGGCCTGAAAGGGTGTGGAAGCAGCTTCAATAATAACTTTCAAAAAGGACTTAGATAGGTACTTAAAAAGGAACAATGCGCCGGGAGCGGGGAAGTGGGACTAGTTGGTAGCACTTTCAAAGAGCTGACAAAGACACGATGGGCTGAATGGCCTCCATCTGTGCTGTAATGATTCTATTATTAGCTACAAACACAGACACATACACACACTATAAATGTCTGACTGGCTGAGAGATGGAGCAGACAGGTAGAATGATGCTATAGATACTGACAGGAGATAATGTCTTGCTAACATTTGACTGTAGAATGTTAGTTCCTATCCAGGACTTGACGTCTGACAGACATTCATTCAGGACATCAGTGGTCTTGGAGTCGAGGGTGGAGGCAGAGAGATACAGTTGGGTGTTATCCGCATACATGTAGAAATTGACCCCATGTCTGCGGATGACATCACCGAACAGGAGGATGGAGACAGTGAAAAGGAGGAGAGGAATGCTTTATGTGACTATGGGGATGGGAGGAAATAAAACTGAAGACTGCGGGATAGGTAGGAATGAAACCAGGAGTGAACAGAATCACTGAGGTGGAGGAGAAAGGAGAGATTGTGGATGGAGTGGTCGATAGTGTCAACAGTAGCAGTGATGGAGGAGAATAAGGAGCCAGAGAGAGAGAGCGGCTACGTAATCTGGTCATTACTAATGTTAGCAGGTGGTTTGTAATGGAAGGAACTGGTAATCTGCTGATCTGATTGCTGCCAGTACTGTACTGTAGTTGGAGGTGATGCTTTTGGAGGCGCAGTTACTTACATCTAAGTACTGTTTGACTATGTTCCTCTTGACAGGTTCCGTGATCTCTGCCTGTCCTATTCCGTTCTTCAGGAACTCCAGTGTCTGCCTGGGGTGAAAGTGTACTCCTGATTTCCTGTTCACCGCTTTGTCGTACACTTTTGCAGATTCAGAGGGAGAATACTTTTGAATTTTACTGCAGAGAGAAAAATGTGGTTATTAAACAGCACAACAAAAACAACTTGCATTTACACAGCGCCCTCCACGCCGGGTAGTGTCTCAGAACACATGTGAGACATACAAATACCACAGCTTAATGGTTAGGAGCACTCACTTCGCAAGCGAGAGGACTAGGGTTAGATTCCCAGGCAGGGCGAAACATTGGGCAGATTTCCTTACCCCACACATCTCTGTTTACCGAGCAGTGAGTAGGAACGTGGTTGTTAATCGATTGGCAGATCGCTTTCTGGGGGTAATAATTCCTTCCTTAAAATAAATAATAATAATAATAATCGTTGCATTTGATATAGCGCTTTTCACGTTGGGAGGACGTCCCAAAGCGCTTCACAGAACATACTGTAAAGTGAATTGACTGCATATTTGTGGGCGAACGCGGCAGCCAATTGCGCACAACAATGTCCCACAAACAGTCGTAGATTGAAAATGGCCAATTTATTATTGTTTTGTTTTGGAGGGATTATTATTAGGCTCTGTTGTGGAGTAAGGAAACTTGCCCAAGGTTTCACCCTGACCTGCCTGGGATTGAACTCAGGTCTCTCATTTGCAAAGCGAGTGCTTTAACCACTGAGCTACAGGACTCCACAATAATAATTTGGTCACTCAATTGATGACTGTTTGTAGGACACTGTTGTGGGCAATCAGCTGCCACGTTTCGCCCACAAAATATACAGCTTACAGTATATTCTGTATATACTGCCACTCAAGCATGTCACTGAGACGTCTCAAAGCGCTTCACAGAATATACTGTAAAGTGAATTGACTGTATGTTTGTGGATGAAACGCGGCAGCCAATTGCGCACAGCAGTGAGTGGCCCACAAACAGTTGTGGATTGAAGAGATTAAATTATTAGTTTTTTTTTTTAAAAGGATTATTATCCCCAGAAAAGCGATCCGCCAATCGACTAACAACCAGGTTCCAACTTATTGCTAGGTAACTAGAGGCGTGTGGAGTAAGGAAACTTGCCCAATATAAATACAATTTATATTTAGATAATACCTTTCCCGTGGGAGGGAGGACAAGTGCTTGTGTATTGTGTGCAGTTTTGGTCTCCTTATTTAAGGAGTACTCGCCTTGGAGGCGGTACAACGTAGATTCACTAGGTTGGTACCAGGGATGAGAGGGATGAGTTATGAGGATAGTTTGAGCAATTTAGGCCTATATTCTCTAGAATATAGAAGAATGAGAGGTGATCTTATAGAAACCTATAAGATTATTAAGGGGCACGACAGAATAGACAGTGGGAGACTTTTTTCCCTGGTTGGAGAAACTATAACCGGGGGTCACAGTCTTAAAATTAGGGGTAAGTCCTTTCCTACTGAGTTGAGGAAAAACTTCTTCACTCAGAGGGCAGTGAATTTATGGAATTCTCTACCCCAAAGGGCTGTAGATGCTCAGTCCTCAAACATATTCCAGACTGAGATTGATAGATTTCTTGTGGATAAAGGGATTAAGGAATATGGGGATAAGGCGGGAGGTGAGGTTAGAATAGATCAGCCATGATCTTATTGAATGGCGGGGCAGGCTAGAGGGGCTGAATGGCCTCCTCCCTCTTCTAATTCTTATGTTCGTATGTATGTGAGCACACGAGCAGCTTTCTACTGAATGACTTAGTCATTCAGTTCAAGATCCTGGGCCTCATGTTCATAGCCCTCCATGGTCTTGCTCCCCCCTACCTCTGCGACCTTCTAACCCCCTACTATCCTGCTCGCTCCCTCCGCTCAGCGGGCGCTGGCCTGCTTCACGTCCCTCTCCTTGCCCACCCCACCATTGGCAGGCGGGCCTTCCGCCACTGCCCCCACCCTCTGGAACTCCATCCCACAGTCCATCCGCCTCGCCCCTTCCCTTGCTTCCTTCAAGACCCTCCTCTTCCGACTGTGCTTTCGATCACCATGCTTTCCCCCCTGCCCTCCACTCTCCCCGATCCCGACCCCCAGCTCAGGTCTGAAAGATTGTCTGTCCAGCGCCTTGGAACGTCCTCCCGATGTGAAGTCACTTTACTTTTGTTGCTGTTGTGTGACGTCTCTGTCACAGTCAGCCTCTTGGCTCTGAGACCAGGTTCACTGGACTGCAAACAGCACTGGGCACCACACACAGCGTCCTGGCTTGTTCTGTCATCTACTTGGAACTAAAACTATCAATTCCACAAACTCTCACTTGCACGAACTGAAGTAACTGTTGGGTGAGAGGAAGAAGGACACAAGTGGAGTCCTGTTTCTCAGTGATTACAACAAAACCTTAGGCGAGTTTCCTTACTCTGCCCAGCAGTAAGTAGGAACTCGGTTGTTATTCGAATAACACAAGCGGATCACGTTTCTGGGGATAATAATCCCTTCAAAAATAAATAAATAATAAATTGGTCACTCAATCCGCAACTGTTTGTGGGACATTGCTGTGCGCAATTGGCTGCCGCGTTCGCCCACAAATATACAGGCAATTCACTTTACAGTGTGTTCTGTGAAGCGCTTTGGGATGTCCTCCCGACGTGAAAAGCGCAATATGAAATACAAGTATTATTATTATAATAATCCCATCAAAAATAAATAAATAATAAATTGGTCACTCAATCCACAACTGTTTGTGGGACACTCACTGTTGCGCGCAATTTGACTGCTGCGTTTCACCCACAAAATACAGTCAATTCACTTTACAGTGTATCCTGTGAAGTGCTTTGAGACATCTGGAAGCCGTGATAAGGCGCTATATCTAACGTGAGGATTATTATTATTATAACTGTTGGGTGAGAGGCAGAGGGCACAGAAATGTCTCCTCCTGGAGGCCCGGTGCGGCAGGTACCTGTCTGAGAAGCCGTACAGATTCTTCAGGTGCTGTTTGACCACGAGCAGCAGCAGGATCCCCTGAGAGGCATTGACAAATTCCATCAGTGGGGTGGAGTCTGGTGGCAGGCGAGAGAGCAGGGCCTCCATGTCTTCGGCCTCATCCTCACTCGAGTCAGAGTTGAGGCGTCTGCGTGCCTTGCGGGGCCGGTGCGGTTCCTGCAGCTCCTCGTCACTCTCGCTGCCTTGGGGGCTCAGGCCTCTCCTCGGCCTGGGCAGGGGCTCCTTCAGCAGACTCTGGAACACACACCGTCACAGCTCAGCCAGCGAGCGGCAGCCTCTCCCCAGCACTGAGTGCTCACAAACCCATCCCAGCCGGACCCCCACCCACACCACACACCGCACCCACACCGCAACCCCACCCACACCGCACCCACACCGCACCCCACCCACACCGCACCCCACCCACACCGCACCCCACCCACACCGCACCCACACCGCACCCCACCCACACCGCACCCCACCCACACCGCACCCCACTCACACCGCACCCACACCGCACACCACCCACACCACACAACGCACCCCACCCACCAACGCACCCCACCCACACAACGCACCCCCCACCACACCGCACCCACCCACACCGCACCCCACCCACACCGCACCCACCCACACCGCACCCACCCACACCCCACCCACACCGCACACCACCCACACCACACAACGCACCCCACCCACACAACGCACCCCACCCACACCGCACCACCACCCACCCACACCCCACCCACCCGCACCCCACCCACACCGCCCCACACCGCGCCCCACCCCACCGCGCCCCACCCCCACCGCGCCCCACCCCCACCGCGCCCCACCCCCACCGCGCCCCACCCCCACCGCGCCCCACCCCACCGCGCCCCACCCCCACCGCGCCCCACCCCCACCGCGCCCCACCCCCACCGCGCCACCCCACACGCGCCCCACCCCACCGCGCCCCACCCACACCGCGCCCCACCCACACCGCGCCCCACCCACACCGCGCCCCACCCACACCACACACCACCCACACCACACACCCCACCCACACCACACACCGCACACCGCACCCACACCACACCCCACCCACACCGCACCCCACCCACACCACACACCGCACCCCACCCACACCACACACCGCACACCGCACCCCACCCACACCACACACCGCACCACCCACACCCACACACCGCACCCACCCACACCGCGCCCCACCCACACCGCACCCCACCCACACCGCACCTCACCCACAGCCCACGCACACCGCACCCCCACACAGCACCCCACCCACACACCGCACCCCACCCACACCGCACCCCACTCACAGCCCACCGGACCCCCCACCCACACCGCACTCGCACACACACCGCACCCACATACACACGCACGCACTGCACCCACACACGCACCGCACCCACACACCGCACCCCACAGACCGCACCCCCCACACACCGCATTCCCACACTGCACCCCCACACCGCACCCGCACACCGCACCTGTACACCGCACCCACACATTAACACACCGCACCCACACACCGCACCCACCCACGCACCGCACCCACACACGCACCCACCCACGCACCGCACCCACACCGCACTCCACACACCGCACTCACACACTAACACACCTCACCCACCGCACCCCACACACCGCACCCACATACCGTACCTCACCCACCGTACCCACACACCGTACCTCACACACCGCACCTCACACACTAACACCCTGTACCTCACACACACAAACTATCCATCTGGTTGGGAATCCGAAACAAGAGCGCTCATCTTAAAGTTACAGCCGGGCCATTTACAGTTTAAATCAGGAGGCAGTTTTTCACACAAAGAGTTGGGGAAATCTGGAACTTTCTCTCCCACAAATGGTTGTGGATTATGGCTCATTGTCCAGACTGAGGTGGACAGATGTTTATAGGGTCAGGGATCAAGGGATATGGGGCAAAGGCAGATCATTTGAGATTAGGCACAGATCAGCCATGATTTTATAGAATGGTGGAGCAGGCTCGAGGGGCTGATTGGCCTCTTCCTGTTCTTATGTTCCTGTTGAACCCCCAACTTGCAGACACATTTTGCTCCTCCTTTACCCCCTACAAACAGACACTGTGAATCTCTATCCATCACCTACCGTGTCTGGACACTGCTCACTGTGTGTGAGTGTGTGTATGTGTGAGTTGGATGGTATGTTAGGGTGGTGGAGCCTGCTCACTGTGCGTGCAGTGTGTTTGTGTGTCAGTGTGTTAGGGTGGCTGCTTCCTGTGTATGTGTGTGTGTTTGGGGAGGGTGGTGTGGGGGGGGTGTCTAGTGTGTTAGGTGGCTGCTCACTGTATGTGTGGGTGGGTGTCAATGTGTTAGGGTGTCTGCTCACTGAGTGTAGGTGTGTGTGTGGGTGGTTGGGTGTGTGTGGGTGGGTGTGTGTGTGTGTGTGTAGGGGTGGGTGTGAGTGAGTTTGGGTGTGCGGGTGGGTGGGTGTGCGGGTGGGTGGGTGTGTCTGGGTGTGTGTGTGTGGGGGTGTGTGTGTGTGTGTAGGTGTGAGTGGGTGGGTGTGGGTGTGTGTGGGTGGGTGTGTGGGTAGGTGGGTGTGTGTGGGTGGGTGTGTGTGGGTGTATAGGTGTGTGTGGGTGGTTGTGTGTGGGTGTTAGGGTGGCTGCTCACTGCTCACTGTTGTTGTAGTTTAAGACGTTGATGGAACACCTGGACCCAGATGAGGAGGATGAGGAGGGGGAGGTGTCGGCCAGCACAGCGGCCAGGAACAAGGCCATCAATGCCCTGCTGGGGGGCAGCAGCCCCAAGAACAACGGCGACACTGAGGATGATGAGAGTGATGGGGAGGAGCGGGCAGGAGGAGGCACTCCAGGGGTAAGGACACACCAGGAAGGGACATGACATTTGAGACTTGGAGTTCATGTTGTCCTCGATGACACTCCCAATAGCTCTCCAGGTGGATGGGGGAGAGGGGGGCGGGGGTTGCATGGTCAGATGAGACCTTACGCCAAGGCTCCATCTGCCTGTCACTAGTCAAACAGGAATCCTGCAGCTTTGTCGGTCGAGCCCTCGCCTCGCAAGCCGGGGTTTGATTCCCGGGCGAGGAGAAACGTTGGGCAGTAATAATAATAATCCTTGCATTTGATATAGCACTTTTCACGTCTTCCAGACTCTCAAAGCACTTCACAGAATATACAGTAAAGTGAATTAACTGTATATTTGTGGGTGAAATGGGGCAGCCAATTGTGCACAGCAGTGAGTGTCCCACAAACAGTCGTGGATTGAAGTGACCAATTTATTATTGTTTGTTTTGGAGGGATTATTGTCAGGCTGTGTGTGGAGTAAGGAAACTTGCCGAAGGTTTCGCCCGGCCGGGAATCAAATCCAGATGTCTCGCTTGCAAGGCGAGTGCTCTAATCACCGAGCTACAGGACTCCACATGACTCCACACTCTACAAGTTTCCTTACTCCCCACAAACACCTTTGGTTACCAGCAGTCAGTAGAAACCCGGGTGTTACTTGATTGGCGGATTGCTTTTCCGGGGGTAATAATTCTTTCATTTATTAAAAAAATAATAATTGGGTCACTCAGTGCCGTCTGTAGGACAGAGGCCACTACTGCACGCAATTTAGCTGCCGTGCTTCACCAACAAAAATACAAAAAAAGTGTTCTGTGAAATGCTTTGACACGTCTGGAAGACGTGAAAACCGCTGTATCAAATGCAAGGATTAGTATTATAAACCGAGAGGGGCGTTCCTCCCTCTTTCTCTCTCCCAGTGTCCTGTGGCCAACAATCCCCCAAATAAAACTGGTTGTGGGACATTGCTGTGCACAAACTGGCTGCTGCTTTTCGCCCACAAAACAGTCAATAAAGGGGACGGGGGGCAGGGAGAAGGGGGAGCAGGCGGGAGGTGGGGGGCAGGGGTGGGCAGTGTGGAAGGGAGGTGCAGGTTGGTGGGGAGGCAGGCAGGGGGCAGGTGGGGGATATGGCCAGTGCCCAGCAAGGAGACAGGTTGGTAGGGTTTTTGGAGGTCATAGAAGTCGGGTGGAGCTTGATTGGATTTTGAACTGGATCCTCTGGGGGAGGGGGAGCCAGTGACCCCGGATAGGGATATGGGGGTCAAAACACAAAATACTGCAGTCGCTGGGAATCTGAAACAAAACCAGAAGTTGCTGGGAACCCTCAGCAGGTCAGGCAGCAACTACGGAGACAGAAAAGTGAGTCAACATTTCGGGTCCAGACCCTTCATCAGAACTGGAGCATGTTGGGAGGGAGAGGCTTTTAAGAGCTAACAGAGAGGGGGGAGGCAGGACAAGGAAGATAAAGGAGAAAATGGGGTACAGGACAAGGGATGATGGGTTGAAGAGGTGTTATTGATGCAGAACAAAAGGTGGGGGACGGGGAATTGCAACTGAACAGGCCGACCAGAGAGAGAAAAGGTGTGTCTGGGACCCAGATGATGTGGCAATGGTCGCAGAAGAGGGGAAGATGGGGAAAGAAGGGGCAAGGTGGAGGGAGAGAGGCAGAGTGTTCCAGAGTTTTGGGTCCCAGTGGCTGAAAGTGGTGAAACAGAGGGCACGAAAGACATGCTGGAGGCCAGGGCCAGTCAAGTGGAGGTATTCCCCTCTATTCCCCTCTCCCGCACCCCTCTATTCCCCTCTCCCACACCCCTCTATAGCCCTCTCCCACATCCCTCTATTCCCCTCTCCCACATCCCTCTATTCCCCTCTCCCACATCCCTCTATTCCCCTCTCCCACACCCCTCTATTCCCCTCTCCCACACCCCTCTATACCCCTCTCCCACATCCCTCTATTCCCCTCTCCCATACGCCTCTATTCCCCTCGTTGATGTGACAAAGTGCTATACCAAATGTAAGGGGTATTATTATTGCTATTATTACGGTATATAAGCTGCTCATTGGACTTGCCAAGTTGTCCACCTTCTCATATCCTATCCTGACCTGCTCTAGTCCTGACCCAACTGTACAGCGCCTTGGGACATCCTCCCGACGTGAAAGGCGCTCTATAAATGGAATCTTGTTGTTGATGTGAAAAGCTTTGATCAGGTTTCCCTGTTTCCTGTTAGCCAGTGTCTGAAACATACGGAAACCTTTCTCCATGCTTAAGAGTCTCCAAACCAGCCTGAGCGTTCCACATTAGTGTTGCCACCTACACTTGGAAATTCCTGTACATTGGAATAGAAGGAGGTCTCTCCCAGGAGAGCCACACCCCACTTACCTAATTCTAGAGAGTATTAGGCGCAGGTTGGTAAGAGCCAAGGCTTGGGGACCCCAGTGTATGTGTTGGTAACTGCTGGAGTCCAATCAGCAAGGACTGTTAGGACTTTGGCTTGCAGGATTAACGGGTGAATCCCTGAGACTAGTCTGCCCTCCAAATCTTGCAGATGAGCCAAGGCGTCTGGTCTGTCATTGGCAGCCTACCTGGCTCAGGACCCCAACCAGAGACTGTCACAGAGGGTGGGTCCGATTTCAACATGTTGCTAAGCATGTCACCAGCCCAAATGCAAGGCTAAGTTTGATTCAAATCACTTCATGCCCTGACACCTCGCTACCTCTCCGACCTTCGCACCCCTCAACCCACTACCTGCTACCTCCACATGACTGGCCCTGGCCTCCAGCATGTCTTTCGTGCCCTCTGTTTCACCACTTTCAGCCACTGGGACCCAAAACTCTGGAACACTCTGCCTCTCTCCCTCCACCTTGCCCCTTCTTTCCCCATCTTCAGGTTGTGCCTGAAGACCTTCCTCTTCAACCGTGTTTACGGTCACCTCCCCTCCGCCCCGGCTCAGTGTCGTGCTCCGCCACAGTCCAGCGCTCAGGGAGCTGCTCTGGGTGAGGGGACGCTGTATAAAATCAAGTTGTTGTTAGCAAATTCCCTCTTCAGATTCCCATCGTTCTCGAGCTCCTTTTCCTCCCCTTTCTCCATCCCTCCCATTTCAATGTCCTGGTCCCACATCCAGCGCCTGCCAGGGTCCCACTGCCATTGCTGAATGCTTTCCTTCACATCAGGGACTGAGCTGAGTGTGCTGTGTTGTAGGGATCTCGGAGATCGAAGCGACTTTGTGAGACGGGGGAGCTGGCGGGGCAGCTGAACGAAGTGGTCGATGTGATGGACGTAATCGCCATCTGCTGCCCCAAGTACAAGGATCGGCCACAGATCGCTCGGGTGGTAGAGAAAACCAACAGTGGTTACAGTGTGCACTGGATGGCAGGTTCCTACAGCGGCTCTTGGACAGAAGCCAAGCGGCGAGATGGCCGCAAGCTGGTGCCTTGGGTGGACAGTGTGAAAGAATCGGACATCATATACAAGAAAATAGCCCTGACCAGTGCAAATAAGCTGACGAACAAAGTGGTACAGACTTTACGGTCACTGTATGCAGCAAAGGATGGATCTTCCTGCTAACACAACACAAAACTGCAGCCAAATTCACAGCAGTGAGGAGAATACACTCGGGCAAAGACCACCTTCTGGCCAATGTACCAGAATGGATGCTTCTACAGTCTGTGAATCGTGCTCCGATGGGATCCAGGCAACCAACGCCCGCCCGCGGACAGACTGAGCGAGCGAGCGAGCGATCGCTGGACTAAAGGAAGGAAAACTTGTCAGATAGCGTTTTCCTGGTGGGAGCTTCCTTCGCTGTTGTACAGCCGAACCTTTCTGGATTGATTTAAACTCCCGCTGTATTATAGTTTAACAAACACAAATTGTTTATATCTTGGAAAAAAAATTCTGTTTAAAAATAAAGTTAAGTGAATGTTGGAAATTTAGTCTGTTAATGTTCTTAATAAAGTGTTCTTGGAGTTTAACCAGCTCAATGGCTTTCTTTAGAGTAGCGGAAGGTGCAGGGACAAGCTATTTGACAGGATGTACAAGGCCAGATTGTGCTGGAGATAATTTATTCTGATGAGAGAGAGCAGTATCTGTGACCAACATGGAGGAGGAGATTTTATTTGATTTTTTGTTTTGTAAATGTAGATTTTAAATGTATTAGGGTCACTCTGGCAAACACGAAAAGGGATGCCCAGCAAACAAACTGGCGGAATAAATACTGCAATAAAATTTTTTACTTCTCTTTGTTACCTGTCTGTCTCCAGTGGGTTGTTTTCAATACTGTCGATCTCTGATTTTAAGGAGAGATGTGGGAAGGGTTGGATTTCCTGATTCTGGTCACCAACAATCCTGTAGTTCAGCGGTTGGAGCACTCGCCACTCAAGCTAGAGGACCTGGTCTAATTCGCAGGCGGGACAAAACCTTTGTTTCTTTACCAACACGCCTCTGTTTACCAGCAGTAGGAACCCGGTTGTTAGTCGATTGGCGGATCACTTTTCCGGGATTAATGATCCCTTGAACTAAAATAATTTAGCCACTTAATCCACGATTGTTTGTGGGACGCTCACTGCTGTGCACAATTGGCTGCTGCGTTTCAACCACAAAATATACAGTCAATTCACTTTATAGTAGCAAAAACAGATGTCGCTGGGAACCCTCAGGAGGTCAGGCAGCATCTATGGAGTAACGAAAGTGAGTCAACGTTTTGGGTCCACGACCCTTCGTCCGTCAGTTCTGACAAAGGGCTTGGACCCAAAACGTTGACTCACTTTCCTTTCTCCATAGATGCTGCCTGACCTGATCTGACCTGACCTGCTGAGGGTTCCCAGCCACTTCTGTTTTTGTTTCAGATTCTCAGCGACTGCAGTATTTTGCGTTTACAATATATTCCATGAAGCGCTTTGAGATGTCTTGAAGATGTGATATGGGGCTATATCACGTGCGAGGATTATTATTGTTGTTATATGTCTATCCTGTCCTGCAGATTACCCTTTTCCAAAACCAGTGCCCGGCACATGTTCTCACCCCTGCTGAACCTCATGGGGAATTCTTCCTTCTCATCCACATAACGATTCTCCCCTGAGTTGGGATAGAGCTGAACTCCCTCCTCACGGCCACACTGTCTCCAGTAGAAACAATCGGACTGACGCTGACACTGCTACTATTCCCAACAGGTCAGCTTTGAATTTCTATGCTATTCTTGACTGATAAAGCTCTCTCGGCAAAACCCTGCATGAGGGAAGCTTTATAAATGTAAGCTGTTATTGTGGGTCTGATCCATAATCCAGGCTTTCCTGCAGCTCTGAATTATTGGAAAATTCATTCCATCCAAGAAACTGGGAACCTTGGCAAATCCTGAGCAACAAATGATACGGGGCCAGTTGAGGGCACAGTTCAAGGCAAATGTGAAGGATCTGACAGAGTGTGAATATGGAAAAGTGGAACACAAGGAAGGGGAGTTGTGTGTAGAAGTCGGGACAAACAGCAATAAAATCAGATGTGACAATCCATGGTCATGGAGCGCAGGTGAGCACTGCAAACAATCGCGAACCGATCCCATCAGACAGGTGGGAGAATAAAGATGTGAATTTAGGAAAGTTGGTTTTGAGGGAGCAGCAAGTCTCAGAGAGCAACAAGTCTCAGGGAGTAACAAGTCTCAGAGAGCAACAAGTCTCAGGGAGTAACAAGTCTCAGAGAGCAACAAGTCTCAGGGAGTAACAAGTCTCAGAGAGCAACAAGTCTCAGGTAGTAACAAGTCTCAGAGAGCAACACGTCTCAGGTAGTAACAAGTCTCAGAGAGCAACACGTCTCAGGTAGTAACAAGTCTCAGAGAGCAACACGTCTCAGGTAGTAACAAGTCTCAGAGAGCAACACGTCTCAGGTAGTAACAAGTCTCAGAGAGCAACACGTCTCAGGTAGTAACAAGTCTGAGAGAGCAACACGTCTCAGGTAGTAACAAGTCTCAGAGAGCAACACGTCTCAGGTAGTAACAAGTCTCAGAGAGCAAC